CTGCAATACGAGACGCTCTTCAACTACTATGAACAGGTATTAGAGTTATCTGACTGTCCTTCGACCTAATTTCTGATCTAGGAAATACTGCAGTACGAAAGGGCAACCAGTATTTACAGTTATTCGAGAAGCTCTTGAGCCAATAACAACAATTATTCGAGAAGCCCTTCAGCTAGTATTTACAATACCGTGAAACCCAATCTCACCAGCAACTCTAACCGCAATCCTTACACTTACAGGCTTCTTGTTCCTATGTCCTTTGAAGGGAGGGGGGTTGGGGTGCAGGTTGGTTCAGATGGATTTTACTGGAAGGGAACTGGGCAGAGTTGGGGTAGAACGAGTCTTACCGTTAGGCAAAAAAAGGATGCGCTTTGTGGAGGACATCCAACTGAGTAACTGTGTCTGCGAACGATAAACTTCTCGGTCGTGTCGCACGTCCGCATAGCAATTAGAGTCCACCTCCTGAGAACTGCCCATGGGAGTGATGGTGGTCGTACGTGACATAGACCTGGCCGGCTCAGCATTTTCTAGCGGGAAAGTCTTATAAAATGCATGAACTTACGCGAAGGTCGACTGACTGATACCTAAAAGAAGGCAAAACGTCCAAACAACGCAGAGAACAGGACTGGGGTTGAGATTTTAGATATAGTGGGGTTGGTGGTGGTAATGGTATAGCTTGATAACGGTGAAAAGTAAGGCCTTTTAATTTCGTCAGACATTGATCTTCGAGCTGAAAGTGTACTTTCTGGCGCAAACCTCTACAGTGCACACCTTGGATTGGAGATTTATCGGTAAGGATTCAGTTTACAGATCACCACAGTTGTTTACTATACACTGATACCTACTTATTTCGTTGTAGTAAGCTTATTTTCTTGTGTACGTATTTAGCAGTTGCCAATCCATTGCTCTAACCACACGGAAAGCTTGAGCATCCTGCAAGTAACTTTTGGTTTTCATTTACCTTAGGCAATATTTAAGTTTAGTCAGTTTATTTTAGATTAATTTTTGTTTGGTTTTAGTTTAGTTTATTTTTCAGTTTTTTATTATGTTTTATTAATTTTAGCTTAGTTTTTATTTAAGTTGGTTTGATCTAGATTATTATTGGTTTGTACACCGATCTATTTCTCAGCTTGGTTTTAGTTGATTTTAGTTTTCATATTAGCTTGGGTTTTAGTTTTTTGTAGTTTTATTATTTTTATTTTAGTTTACATTGATTTTTATTTTAAATGGTTAAGTATTTGCTTCTTTTCGTTTTACTTTTATGAGCGACATGCGCTTGCTTTTCGGCTTAAAATGTGGAAAAAATCTGTCTTGCATGGTTTCACTTTGATCTCGAAAATTCGCAGTTCTTCACGCAGTTTCATATTTCGTGTAGTTCTTTTTTCCTATTGGGTGTACTTCCCATTTTATTTTCGCGCCCCGAATATTAGGCAATTTAAATAATTATTCCTATTTTTTATTTTATGTGCTCTACTTTTCATTTCTTTTTTCTTTCCCCTGACATGGTCCACCCATTTAACTCCTATGACCACTGCTCCCTATTACAGAAAACGAGGGTTTTTGGTTAAGGTGTGAGCACAATCATTACGGGTTTGTCAACTGTTCGCATACTCTGGCTCTGTCACGAGCGGCTAGAGCGTCGGCTGTCCTAGGGCCTTCCCTATGTTGTCATGAGTAAATTAATTTGATGCATAGAAATCTCAAGGAGAGGCGTCCTTTGGGAAAATGAGGAAACTTTATTCAGTCAACTTTCGACATTGGATCCCCAGGCCGTCGTCTGAAGTTAAAACTGTGCAAAGAACAATTCTTTGCACATTATGTTGCACGCTGAACTATAAGCGAACATTAATATAACCATCGACGATTCTAAGTAAATCCCCTCTGGGCACGGAAAATGGAGTTTTGCGTCCATTAAAATCAAGTACAGACAGTTATAAGAAATCGCACTGTTTCAGTATCAGCATATTTGAGCGATATGTATATGGGTTGCTTTTGAGTTCATCATTTAAACATGTGTGTTGTGGTAGCAGAAAAATAGAAGCTCAGTTTGTTGGCAAGGCCAATTGCCCTGAGCCATGAGGTGGAAAACACTTTAAAAAAGAGTGGGCAGTGAAAAAACTCCTTCAAAGTTTTTAGGTGAAAAAACTGTCGATCTTGGGAGTAGGATCTGATGGGGGTGGGGGGGGGCGGAGGGTTAGGAGAAAACAAAAAACAACACAAGAGAAGCTGGAATGAATACTTTTGACTTTTTAGTCGTCCTCTGCTAGTCATACCCAGCCCCGGGGTTAGCGGCAACCGATGCTCTAACCCAAGACAGTGTTATATAGAAGTCAAACACATTAAGCATTTGTCACGGGCTTGTTGTCCTGTCGGTCTTCGATCAGGAATATATAAGATGGTAGAGGGACGCTACCCCTTCGGTACGGACGACACAACAGGACGTGAAGGTCCATCTACCCCTGTGTATATACTTTTCATTTATGCATAGGTTTTATGGTTTGGGTAGTTATTAACTTTGAAGAGTGGCCGACCTGGCAGTCGACTACAGACACCAGTCACAGCAAGGTTTCCATTAACATCGTTAAAAGGATGCCTTTAGTTATATAGGCATCCACAGACACAGAAGGGATACCACGTGCATATAGGAGAGAATATAACCTTGACCAAGCCGTTTCAAGAACCCTCCCAGCAGCCAGAGTTCGGGTATTATTCTCAACCAACCCAAT